GTTGGAATAAACATTGTTGTGTAAAAGGGTTGTTGGAAAAGTGGTTGTTGTGGGATAAGGGTGCTTTCGAGAAAGTTCATGAAACCATCTTGTGGTGAATCTAAACTCTATATTGACGTGGTGTAGTGTCCAACGAAACGATACGTCAACATTCCGGTTTAGGTTTGTTGGTAGAGTGTGACATTTTGTTCCATCTTGTTGAAAAGGTATTTTTTTTTAATTGCAATTTGGTTGATTTTAAATGGAACAATCGGCCGATTAAAGTCAACCGTTAAACACAAATATGGTCCGAAGAGGAGTCCCTGTGGCTTCTACACTTGTCCCGCACTCCCGCCTATCAAAAAAATGATGGAAGATGTTGACCATGTTTTCTGGACCTTTAGTTGCTGATTTGGTGTGGAATTGGGCTGCTCGTTGGTGCAATCTAGATAGCAGGCCCATTGGCTCCCTAGAGGACCTCTTGGTGTTTTTGAATTCGAACTCCAAGCAGAATTCGAAGGCTAGGTTTCTCGCTGATGCAGTTTTTGGAACAATGATTTTGATAACATGGGAGGCCAAAAATGAGGTCTTTCTTTAGAAAGCTGAAACTCAATGAGAAGAAAAAAAAAAAAAAAAAAAAAAAACTATTAGATGACATTAAACTTTGTTTATTTTTCTAGACGAAACATAAAGGTAAAATGTATAATATAATTTGAATTGACAGGTGCATTTCACTCTTCAAAATAATATAGAAATAATGGATTAAAATGAGACATGTTTAGAGTTTTTTTTTACAGTTTAAACAAATTAAAAAGATAAATATAAACGAAAAAAAACTTAATGACAAATATATACAAATCAAAACTGTATTCCACTTTTAAATGTGTAATATTTGTACTTGTTAGCTTTTGTTTCTTTTTAATTTACCCTCTAAAAAATTCTAAAGACAACACTTATGAAACACATACTAAAACAACATAAAATAGCCCAAATCTACCTAATTTATTTTTCTGTGATTGAGTAAACATTACCATTTCGAATGAATAGACCCGTTCATTCCACATTACTTCGTAATTTCGTATATGAATTTTTGCACATTGGTGTCTCGCACTCATTTCCCATTTTAACGGTTAAAAACCGAAATAAAATACAACTATCCAAAATTTGGTTTCAAAAACCACAATAGATTGATTATAGAAGCAACACTACAAATACAGAGCAAAACAAAAAACCATTACAGAAGATATCAGTTAAGCAAATAGTTCTTATAGCCCACATTATCGATCGCAATTAACTAGGAATCTTATGATCCAGAATCTTTAAAGAAATTTCACCACATACTCAATCCGATTCTGTTCTTCACGCAACCTGGACCTGAATCGTCTTCGGCTTCTTGGGCTCCGGCGGCGGCAGTTTCTCCACCGTCACTGTAAGCACTCCATCTTGACAAATCGCAGATATCTTCTCCATATTAGCATTCTCCGGCAACGCAAACTTCCTCATAAACTTACCAATCCTCCTCTCCATCCTCACGTACTTCACTCCTTCCTTCTCTTCCTGATCGTGTTCCCTTTTTCTCTCTCCACTTATCACCAACACGTTGTCTTCCTCCACCTGGACCTTGATATCTCCGGACTTCAGACCAGGCATGTCGACGATGAAGACGTAAGAGTTGGGATACTCCTTCACATCAGCCGGAGTTGCAGCCATTGCTCTGGCGTCACGGACATAAGCGCGAGTAGGTCCGACATTGCTCGATTTATTGTTGGTGGTGGTGTCGTCGGTGGCTGCAAGGATATGGTGGAGGTTGTGCAAAAGCGGCGAATCAAAACCCATTAGACTGATGTCCATTTGAATCTCTGTTGATGACTTTTTTCCCTAGAATTCGAGCGCAATTGAAGAATAAATTAGTAGTCGAGATGTTCTATGGTTGCAGATTGCCGAATCAAACATCTTGAAGGTGGATTATATGGTAGAGGGTAGAGGAAGAAGAAGGAAAAGTAGTTTCTAGAAAGAACGGGAAAGAGGAAAGGGAAACGAGGAGCTTCTAGCAGCTTCTTTTGATACGGGAGGAGTTCTTAAATTCTGCTGGATTTGTCACGTTGGAACGTGGTTTGTCATAAAAAAATTGTGACTTTGTCATAAAAAAAATTTACTTGATAAAATTTATTTATAATTTTTATATTATCTAAATTGATACTTTAATCACATGAAAACTTCAATAGTGATTTTTTTAATTTGGTTCACAAAAATTTGAACATAAGTCTAAAGAAAAGCATGATGTTAGAGTGGATAACGGTCAAATTTGATTTTTGTGGATTTAGTCGAAAATAACACGAAATGACCAATATTTTTTTTAGAACAACAAAACAAAATGACTTATATAAATCTAGGACGGTTAATAAAAAATATGCATCATATATGTGGTTTTATTGAGTTTTGTGCATTTTTTATGAGACAAAATGGGTGTGAATTTTTTTTCCTCTTTCCTTTTAAATTTATCAGGTCGTTACTTCCCCATGCCACCACTTCTCTCATCCTTACCACGACCACAAGAGCTTCATCTCGTCTTCCCAATCACCCTTCATTTCTTGCAAATATTGTTAAGACTGTTGGGTATGGTACAGAACGGTGTGGAGGAGTTTGAGCTGGGCTCCCTCCATGCCGTCGATCTACTTAGAACAACGCCCCATCATAATGCGTTGTGGCATACCGTGGACAACTCGACGCATGACAACGTGTATAGAGATTAATTCAAACAATCAAATGGACCCTTTAACGGTCAATTATTTTTTACCTTTATAAATATAATAACTACTTAATAGTTTTACTCACCACTACTATTTTTCCTATATATTTATATAAATTTCCAACATATTTTTATATTATGGATCTATTTGGCTTGACTTCCAAGGATGATGATATGTTTATCACTATGATATACACGTATTAAGTGTTGTTTGTTTTTTCTGAGGCAAAATGTCTGCAGTCTGCGGACCACATCTGTAAACATCTGCAGAAGAGGTGGACCCAAACGCTGCAGTCTGAAAAAAAAAGACTGTTTGTTTTTTTTAACATCTGCTGGCTACAAAATAATTTGAAATCTATATAAACTGTATGTTTTTTTAAAACTTAAAAGTGTTTTTTATTTTATATGATTTGTTGTTATAAATAATTAACGAATCTAGATCAACTTTTATGTATTAGTGTAAAAAAAATAAATATACAAATGGTATGAATTAACGAATATATTTGATAACACAAACACAACTTTGGTTTGCAATTCTATAACTTAAACTTATAATTAGTGATCAAAATTTGTGACGATACATAAATGGATGGAAATAAACTTCGATTATTTAATTAAATCCATTAAAAACGTACCATAATCTTTTTCTCGAGAAATTGACGATACTGTATTAAATAATGTTTTACAAAATTTGCAAAAAAAAAATATAAAATATATATTATGATTTTTTTTCATATTTATATAAACAACTCAATGATATTATTGTAATAAATCTTTATTTATAAATTTGTCCAAAATATCATGTTTGTATCGTCGAACGTTTTTTTTTTTAAGTTTTGTAATTTTTTTTCAAATTGTTTATCATTAATAAAGTTGGAAAAAATATAAATTAAAAAAAAAACTTAAAAAAAAAATAAAGATATATATTTTTTTTAGGCTAGAAGATGTCTGAAGATGTTAGAAGACTCTGGTCCACATCTGCGCCAAGAAGAGGGCGCGCATACATTTTTAGGTCTGCAGTCTTCAAAAAAACAAACAGTCTGTGAAGGCTAATGTCTGCGCGTGGTCTGCGCGACGCAGACAGAAGAGGCCACGCAGATCTGCAGACAAAAAACAAACACTACCTTATAATAATGAAGTAGAAGAAAAAAAAGAAGCCACTGTACGAACGAGAAACGCGAGGTTATACATAAATCTTGTGGAAATACACAAACGTCTATATCACAATTACTTTGCGGATAATTGTGTATACAACTCAAAGGATTTCAAACAGGCCCGACTTTACATGTATACAAAATAACCAATGGCTTAGGGCCCCATTTTTAAGGGGCCCCTTAACCCAAAAGTCCATTAATTAATTTTGGTGTTGATTTCAGATTCTCTCACCCCACGCAGTCACGCACGAATGCACGATTGAAACTGAGATACTCTTCTGCAAAGCGTCTGTTCTTCTTCTCGTGAAGTCGTGATCTCGTCTTGTCCATTATTCTTCTTAATGACAACTCTTTGTGAAGTGTGATCATTTGGATTGTTCAAAAATCAAAAAATCGATTCTTGAATCTTGATTGTTCAAACGGTATTGTTCTTCCTCTTCGATTCTCCGATTCTCTATCGATTTAAAAATCAAACTCCATTGATGATTCTTCTTTCTTGATTAGACTATCTATTAGGTTAATACTTAATAGGGCTTATTTTTTTTAATCTTCACCGTATGAAGTTTGATTTTGGTATAGGTTTGGATTTAGGATATTGGAATCAGCCAAATCAGGTTTGGACTTTGGATATTGGAAGGAACCATTTTTGCCATTTTCGTTGGAACGAATTTTAGTTTTGCTATTCCATATTTCCATCTTAGTTTTGTAAGGAGTCAAGCCCTCAAGGTCAAGGTTATTTTTAAGAACTTACTTTGCTAAGCAGGTAAAACATGTATTTTCTATCTATAAATCTATATTTCATTACTATTTACTTTCTGAGGGCCCCAAATTTTTGGTCCGCTTAGAGCCCTCAAACTGGTTGAGTCGGCCCTGATTTCAAACAAATGATTTGTTTGAGTAGTGATGTGTTTGTATGGATAGTGTTATATTTTTTTTTTGTATTCTTCGTTTCATAAAAAGAAATATCTCTAGATCATTCCATTCATAATCGTCGACTTTCATCTTTAAATTTTCCCAACTTTTATTTTTTTGTTTTCCAAATTTCATTTCTTTAAAAGAAATTATGCTTCCTACGTAATCTCAACCTCTCGTTCTTGAAGTTGGATGTATCGGTCAAATTTATCTTTAGAATGATCGATACTATTTGCCTATGAATTTTTTGAACACGAACTGGAAGCCATTTTCTTCTCTTTACTCATTCCTATCGATCGACTTAGTGGTGGTTCTTCTGCTTCAAGGTGCTCCAGCTCATCGTTGATGTTGATAAATGTTCACCTATCCGATTGTTGTGAGTGACTACGTAATTGAGATTTCCTCGCACGTTTTGAACCAAAAGAAATCAATTTGTTCACAAGAAGCCATTTTTGACAGTTCTTCAACTCATACCAAGCATTTACATAGGGAAATAGTTTATGAGTACGTTAATATTCTTGGTATTGTTTGAGCGTCACGACGGAGACGTCAAAATCGTTAGCCTTATACTTATGTATGTTCTTGAGGTTGTTTTGAATTCCATTGAATTCAATTTTATTTAACCTTATATCAGACCATTTTATGTAATTTAGTAGGTTGTCCAATAAACCACTTTCTCCATTAGGTCATGGAAGATGTTTCGAATGGTTTCCTAAATTATATATGTCGTTTGTGCATTTCATTTGATCAAGTATTGGCTTGTCGAAATCTAGACATTGGCGAAATTGGTTTCTTCTTTTTCCGTCCAAGTTCATCTGTTCTTTTTTTTTTCTTTCTCTTTGATGGTTTTTGTTGATCAGATTGTGTTTTTTGGTACACATTAGAAGAATATGGTTTAATTGTGGTTGCGAACATTATGGTTGTATGAAAGGATGTTGGTATACAAAAGCAGATTGATAAAGTTGTTGGAAAAAAAATATTGTGTAAAAGGTTCTTGGATAAGTGGTTGTGGGATAAGGGAGCTTTGGAGCAAGTTCATGAAACCATCTTGTAGTGAATCTAAACTCGTATATTGACGTGGTGCAGTGTCCGACGAAACGATACGTTAAAATTTCGATTTGGGTTTGTTAGTGGAGTGTGACATTTTGTTCTATGTGTGTATAAAGAAGAAAATAATGGTATGAAAATTTGTGTAATATAGAAACGGTAAATTTATATGTGAAGTTTGTAAAAAAATTCAATTTAATCTTTTTTTTCTTAATATTCAAGTTGTTCAAACGGCTAGCAAAATACGTCAAAAAGTGGTGTTGTAGACACTCCATTCTATTAAAAAACTAGGTGTAACACTCATGTATTACATGAGTTCATTTAAAAAAATTAAATACAAAAAATCTTAAATTTTGAAAATTTTGAATTTACAAGAAAATTTTGAAAAATATTGAATTATTAAAATTAAAGTGTTTTTTTTTCTTTTTAAATTTGAACAAATAATTTAGATAAATAAAAATATTAATGATTTTAAATTTGCCCGTTTGCCTTCTCATTCGTTGTATGATAATAACTAAAAATATTAATGATTTTTTATATGAAGAAGCATCATGTAAACTTCTTCATGATAAATAAACAAATGAAACTAATAAAGTTTTAATTTAGAAATGTTGAAATTAGAAGGAAAATCAATTATTGAGATTGATATGCATTTATTATTACATTTATTGCAATTATTACATTTAATATTATGTGAATTTAATAAAATGGAAAAAACCACAAAATGTCATGTGAAAATTTTTTAATTGAAATTAACCATAAAATGACATGTGGCCAAATCAATTTGAGTGTGACATATGACAAAAAGATTTTCATTTATTAGAGTAGACTTATTATTATGCCTATTTAAAGTCAAAACTAATTCATCATTAATATTAATAAAAGGTTTTGGTTATATTGTTTTCTGAAAAAATAATTTTATCTCTCTTATTTTTTTGTCTTCTTTTTTTTCTTTCTTTATATATATATAATATATATATATATAATAG